CCAAAGCTTACTCACATCAGAGGCGAAGTTACAGGTCTTCAGATACTCCTCCCACTTCTTCCGCTTATGTACGTTTACTAGTTGCCGAATCTCCGCGTTGAGATCCCTGATATGGAGATCTCCGGGATCGGCCTGACGCAGGCTATCACGCTCGTTGGCTAGAATAAGCCGCTTCGGCAGGGAAGTTTGGACATGGGTCCGTTATACATTCTGCCGGTATGAAGCGAGCTGCAGCAGCAGTGACAGCCCTGCGGAGCTTACGTTCACCGAGATGGTCGTCGGTTGGTGTGGAAAGCGCAGTGAAGGTGTTTTCAGTAAACTCCGCGTAACCTTTCCAATCAGCTTTAGAGAAGTTGATAAAGGTCCGGTGTTAAGCGGAGGCAAAGTCGGTTGGTTTATCTATCGAGATGACTATGGGTAGATGGTCTGATGCTAAAGTCAGCATAGGTCGCCATGTTATGCTGTTTATCAGACCAGCGCTGACTATGGTGATGTCTGGCGAGCTGCTGCAGTTACCCATAATCCTGGTGGGTGCGTCGTCGTTCATTGTGCAGAATGTCGAATCGTCTATCTGCTCAGCCAAGTCTGTTCCCCTACGATCGTTTGACAGGCTTGAGTGCCAAAGATCGTGGTGCGCATTAAAGTCACCTACTACCATACGGTTTTCACCTCTGAGGAGCGCACCTATATCAGGGTGATATCCTGCCGGGCAGCAGGTGACAGGGGGTATGTATATGTTAAATATTTCGAGCTCAACATCGTGTGACCGGATAGCAATACCCTGACATTTTAGGGTGGTATCCCTGCAGTCGATGTCTGCTTCGATAAGACGATACTGCACGGTGTGGTGCGTGATGAACGCTAAGCCACCACCATTATCTCGCTCGCGATCTCGACGGTGCACGTTGTACCCGGCACAATTCAACAGAGTTGAATTGCTGTGCAACTTCGTCTCTATCAATATACCATGCCGACACATGAAGACGGTTATCTCCTCAATCTTGCTCTGTAGCCCGTTGAAGTTAAATTGAAGGAGCTTCATGTGGTTCGGGAGACGTGTTGTCATGTGGGGTATAGGAATGTGTGTGTTCTTACCGCCGTTGGCTGTGTGCGCTGCTGTGATGGTTGCCGCCCTGTGGTGGTGGCGGGAGGCGTCGCAGTTGAGGTCTGGGACCGAGCAGCGCAACACGGGCCCTCGAAGTTCCTCGCCCAATCTCACGTGGTACCCAGACCTTAGCATGCCCTAAAGTGGCACCTACCAAGAAGATCGAAAATCGAATGCAACCCATAATAAGGGCCTAAAAGTCACTAGTTTTGTTAACGAAATCTTGCCAACAGCATACACATCCAGTACTCTCTTGGCTCCCTTCGTAGAATTTAATATTGAAAGTGATGTCAAGAAGGTTTTCAAAAGCTTAATTTGTCATCCCAGTAGTCTGTTATCTTCGCAGCGTCATCCAATACGGGTTTTAAATCTAGTGGCGGCATGTTTCAAGTCGCCAGGGAATACCGAGGGGTCATACTGAGACTTCTCGTAGCGTTTTCTGCCTCTTTCTTCATCCTAGACATTGCTCCTTTCGTTTTTCCAATCACCGCAAATATCCGCACACTTGCGCCATTTCAAACCATTGTTCTGTACAAATTTGTCGATAGCTTCAAAAATTTCGTCGCTAGTGGCGTAAGTCTGAAGTAGTTCGTTCTTCTTCGATTTGCATTGCGAATGGGTACCTCACTAACCCGAGAAGACTGCCTCTAAAATCGTGTTTATTCGCTCTTTGACAGAGTGATTGTTAAGTTCCAAAGAATAAGTAATATATACACGTTTGTATGACTCATATTTGTGACATTCTATGCTTTGATGTTAGGTATTTGTGAGGAACTTAATTATGCGCTGGCAGGCATTGGAGTCTCTATAAGTATACACACCTTATTTTTTTCATAAAAATATAATCTTAAAATGGATATTTTTTAATTTTAAACTCACATTTAAGAAAACTCCATTCCGAACTATATTTACGATTTGAGTGTTCCAGTAAATAGATACACAAGCGTTAATTATGTACTTAACTATTGATATTATTCTAAATTAAGCATGATCGGCCGCTGTGGTCTAGTGGTAAGCAGTGCGCGCTTCCACTCCGCAACGCCTGGGTTCAAACCCTAGTCAAAGCTATATCGCAAAAAAATATAGAAAAAAGGTTTTTTTCCTAACAGCGGTCGTCCCTCGGCAGGCAATGGCAAACCTCCGAGTGTATTTCTGCCGTGAAAAAAACAGCTTCTCATAAAAATACAATCGCCGTTCGGAGTCGGCGTAAAACTGTAGGTCCCTCCGCTTTGTGTGACAACATCAAGGCGCACGCCACAAATCGGAGGAGAAGCTCGACAAAACACTAATGTATGTGTAAGCGCCAATCTATTATATTATTATTATTATTATATTATGCTTAACCTACATTTTGTTCATTAATAACACATAATTATATATATTTTATCCTTGAAAATAACTTTCTAATCATGAGGAGAAATTCCTGCACACAACCCAAAAGTACACCTCGGGGACCTATTGGTGAAAAACTGCGAAAAGGTTTATTACTGTATATACTGTGGCCAGTGGCCAGTTGGTTGTGCGCTGCTGGAGCAGTCGCCGAACGGTTGTATGATGATGCAAGTAGGCATGTCCGCCGAGAGGGAGGGGGCAAAGGGGTGAATCAGAACCACAACTTGTTATTATTTTTTTTTTACAATGCAATTGCTACTTGTTTATAGGCTTTTTTTATTATAAATATATTCCGATTCGTGCTAATTGTTTCTCACTTTATAAATTAAAGAAAATTATAATATCGACTGGTGAGTGGAAGATCGACCTATCTCGGCAGCCAGTTCGAAAACGCCCTATCTCAAAAAACTTTTCAAGAACGCCTTATTTCAGAATTTTATTGAAAAACACTATCTCAGAATTTGGTTGAAGAACGCTCTATTTCAGAATACGATTCAAAAATGCCCTATCTTACTTTAAAATATATTGAAAATATGCTGATATAGGGCGTTTTTGAATCGGCAGCTGATATAAGGCGTTTTTGATACGAATTCTGAAATAAGGCGTTCTTCAACCAAATTATGAAATAGGACGTTTTTGAAAAGTTTTTCGAGATAGAGCGTTTTCGAACTGGCTGGCGAGATGGGTCGACCTTCCACTCAGCAGTCGATATGGCCCAAAACGTGTACGTTTTGGCTCACAGTGCTTTTCAAATACCGCTGAAACTCGGTAGAATACAATTTTCGGATAATTTTACTTCTTGCATAAGTATGTCGTAATATTAAATATACATATACCTAAAATATATTGTACCTCCTGTTGTTCAGGAGTTATGAAAGCTTCAACAGCGGACTTTTACATTACAATTTATGGAAGTACTTTTTAAAACTGGTTTATGTTATCGAAAAAGTCTGATCTCGATAGAGAGCGTTTTCGAACTGGCTGGCGAGATGGGTCGATCTTCCACTCAGCAGTCGATATGGCCCAAAACGTGTACGTTTTGGCTCACAGTGCTTTTCAAATACCGCTGAAACTCGGTAGAATACAATTTTCGGATAATTTTACTTCTTGCATAAGTATGTCGTAATATTAAATATACATATACCTAAAATATATTGTACCTCCTGTTGTTCAGGAGTTATGAGAGCTTCAACAGCGGACTGTTACATTACAATTTATGGAAGTACTTTTTAAAACTGGTTTATGTTATCGAAAAAGTCTGATCTCCTTATATAACTCAAGAACTACGTATTTATTGAAACAAAATTAATTTTGGTGCCAATTATTGCAAAAAAAGTTGGATTGTTACGTTACGGAAAAAATTTTTACGTTACCTGTGCGACATACGTACGCGTTGATTATACCTTAGTAAAAGAATTATATCTGCATCATGTTTTTCCTCGATTTCTCTGTATTAAATAAGGGTAACGTTTTTGANAAGCTTCAACAGCGGACTTTTACATTACAATTTATGGAAGTACTTTTTAAAACTGGTTTATGTTATCGAAAAAGTCTGATCTCGATAGAGAGCGTTTTCGAACTGGCTGGCGAGATGGGTCGATCTTCCACTCAGCAGTCGATATGGCCCAAAACGTGTACGTTTTGGCTCACAGTGCTTTTCAAATACCGCTGAAACTCGGTAGAATACAATTTTCGGATAATTTTACTTCTTGCATAAGTATGTCGTAATATTAAATATACATATACCTAAAATATATTGTACCTCCTGTTGTTCAGGAGTTATGAGAGCTTCAACAGCGGACTGTTACATTACAATTTATGGAAGTACTTTTTAAAACTGGTTTATGTTATCGAAAAAGTCTGATCTCCTTATATAACTCAAGAACTACGTATTTATTGAAACAAAATTAATTTTGGTGCCAATTATTGCAAAAAAAGTTGGATTGTTACGTTACGGAAAAAATTTTTACGTTACCTGTGCGACATACGTACGCGTTGATTATACCTTAGTAAAAGAATTATATCTGCATCATGTTTTTCCTCGATTTCTCTGTATTAAATAAGGGTAACGTTTTTGAGGTATACATTTATAATGGCCCTTGGCTTATAAGTATTTTCCATACAATGGGTTGGCATTCGTGTTTTATCTACCGTTTCAGAAATCAGTGGTACATTCAATAGAAAATACATAATTATATATGCATAAGGAGTTATTCGGCTCCCGATTGCTGCAGTGTCATAAATTCTCAACAAAAAGTACACTAACAACTGGATTTTAAAAACTTAATTATGTAGAAGCTAATTCCATACTAAACCTCGTTTTATTATTTTTCCATATTAAATCACGGCCCAATAACATTCCGAGCTTGGTAAGATAACGGGAAAGGATTTTCGTTGCATGAAATCTTGTTAAGAGTAGATATTACAAAAACCCTAATGGGAATTCAAGCCCTGATTTTAAGCTAGACACTCAAAGAATGGGGTTTTCTTACCTTGAATAACGATTTTGGTGTTTGCATTGTGTGAATAACATCGATTTTCCGCCGGAAAGTCCAAATATCTTCGGTCGTATTGCCCGAAAAATTAATCAATTCGATGCATAAGAAATGTTTCTACTTCTGGATATTATTTATCATATCATTTTTCTCAAAGTAAAAAGATTTTATATATTTTCCAAAGCTATACGTGCATAACAGGTTCCTTTCGCCAAGATAGGTTTACCATGGAAATAGAATGAGTCTCCACTATTTATGGTAGGCGTCTGCATCTACTATATTGCAATTTTTTTCATCTTTCTACAAAACTTATATAGTAAATCAAGTGTACGCTTGATGTTAGCTTCTAATGAATTAGTTTCTTCATAGAACATGTTCACTGAAAAGAAAACCAATATGCGCAAGAAAGAGGCATATAGTCATGTGTGAAATGAGATATGGAACACCCTAACAACAAAAAAAAAACTTTCTTCTCCTCCTTCCAATTTTCATGTATAACGTTTTCTTGCGCCTTCAAACCGTGCACACTTATCTTTAGCACCTGCTCAAAAACGGGCTTTTCCGTGGAATCTTCTAGCTTGCGCCTTTAAACCGTGCACACTTATGTCTGGCACCTGTTCAAACATGTTTTCTTTGTAATCTTCTAGCACACCATATTATTTCTAATTTTCATGTATAATTCACCCTTGCGCCTTTAAACCGTGGAAATTAACGCCACCCCTCACCCCTTGTACTTACCCGCTAAGTAAACAAGTAAAGCTTCAGTGAGCCACTTAGGCATATGTGTCAAATATGTCAATGACACGTTAGCCAGTAGGTAGCGCACAGGAGACAACTCCACAGTTCATTTCTAATACTAACCAGTTATGTAAACAACTGTAACTTAATTGAATCACCTAGGCAAATGTGCCAAATATATCATTGGCACATTGACAATTAGGAAGCGGCCATCACCTAACACCTATGGTCTGCTTCTCGTAGAATAGAGATATATGTAATAGAATTGAAAGCACATCATCTAACACCTAGATTTGCACTTCCTAGAATTTAAGCTTGACTTTTGTATGTAGACTTGAGTGAAATATTGTATAAGGAAAGATTAATAAAGGGGGTTCCGTTTTACTGATGTGCCAAGCAACGAGGTTGTGCTTTTTAAAAACCCTCCGCGCTTCGCCGGAATAATAAGTGGCGATCCTGCCAGGAGATGTAAAACAAGCCGTAAAAAAAAGTACGGTTAGTAACTTCTCCCTGGGGACCAAAAATAAGTTCCGCATGCAAAACCTTGTGCGACAGGGTATGCGGTAGTTTAAAAACAAATAAGTATCCTTCCGAAAAGGGGAAAAAATAAAACCAATATAATCATCATATAATGATGGTACCGTTTTAAGCAAAAATGGTACCAATTTTTTTTTAATTCTGTAGTAACCGCATAAGGAGACAAAAATCTCCGTGCCACGAATACAGAAACACAAACAAGTATTGCGAAAAATGCGAGTAAAGTAAAAACAAAAAATATATAAAATAAAAATCGGTAACCGCGAAAGGAGACAAAAATCTCCGCGTTACGATAACAAACAAAAAGGCCGTTCCGCGTAACCGCAACAAATAAAAATAAAAGCACTAAGAAGTTGATACGAGGATTGAACTTAAGGTGGTACGAGGATAGAAGTAAAGGTGATACAAGGATTGAACCGAAGGTGGTACGAGGATAGAACGGAGGGAGATACAAAGGCGAGAACCCGGACCTTCATCCAGTCATCCGAACAAAGATCCAGTGGCGGTAATATTGTGAAATTAATACATTTTGTTAAAATTAAGAATATTTAATGGGAAATAAGCCCAGTAGTTTTGGGTACAAACGATATTATGATAAATGTAGGGAAAACCACAGTAGGGTTAAGTGTCCACAAAATTCAAGAACGAAATTTTTGTAAAATATATGTATAAATAAATTATTCATAAAGAAGTGAATAGTGTTTAAAGCTGAAAATTTTAATAAGCAGATTTTCAACAATGTCAATAAGAAACAATGGGCACGTTCATAAGACGTAGCTGTTTAGCTCATCTGCTACGAAACTGCTGGCAACTGTTGAATCCAACAATTACGTCTTAGAAACGGCTTGATGAATATGCTGCCAAATGAACAGCTGATAAATGTAAGCAAATGAAATTACAACAAATAGAGATAGTTGCGCCGATAGTATTTAGAATTCAACGCTGAGCTGCCGCCGTGTTGAAAAAATCTTTCAATGTTACAATGAATTAAACAGTGTAAAATTATATAGCAAACATCTTAAAAACATATATTTAGAAACGTAGTATTATTTTAAAATATTTTAGTTATTTTATCACATTAGTAATATAAAATATAATAAATTTGTTTGCAACTGCCACCTAACGAAGCGGCGTTAAATTTAATATAAGCGGCGTAAGTCTTTTCGATCAGCTGTTTAGGCTAAGCCCAACACGTTGAGTTCAGGTAGCGTAAACATTTTCCGCTGGAAAAAATTGCGGCAAATTGCCAACTGTTGAGCTGAGCGGAACTACTCAACTATGCGTTTCTAAGACAAATAGCCAACGGTTGGGCAACAGCTACTTCTTATAAACGCGCCCAATAACGCATCCAGTATGGATGTGGTTTCGAGGCTAATAGTAGCCAGTACTGTCTCACTATGTAGTGAGGTGGAACAAGTTAGACGTCAGAAGAAAAATTAATAATTACGTTAGTTGACGTGAGGCGGCCAACAACACTTTGTTATTGTATAAGTTAACGCCACAGAAGTTAACAGCGACGCTCACACGCGCAACACATTTTCTGCTGACGCTATGTCTACCAAACTTGGATATCATATAGCAAAAATGCCGTAACCGTGAGAAACCAACTAGGCACATGGTGGTTGCATGTGACAACATCCAACTCCAAGCTTAGGTTAAGAATCCGATTGTCAACTAAAGTTAGTTCAAATTTTGCCTCATAGAGCACTAAAAAATATATTTTTTTATTACTTTACTCGGCAGTAAAGTTAAGTGGCGCCCAACGTCTTGGGTCAGTAAGCGCGGAAATTAATAAAAGTAAATAAAGTTATTTTGGCCAATTGCCTAAAAGGAGCATAGTGCCATATTGCGTAAAGGAAAAATATTTTTTTTTCTCGGTCAGTTCGACTTAAGCAGTCGCCGTACCATACGCTAAAAACTTTGCTAAGGCGTAAATAAAATAATCGTTTTCTCGGTCAGTTCGCCTCAAGTAGCCGCCATACCGTACGCAAGCAACTAATCCGATAAGTAGCCAGATCGCCCAAAGAAGCCGCCGAGCTACAAGAACACCCCGTGGAAATTACTGGACCCAAAAGGAACCAGGCCTGTAGTGTCAGTACGCAGGCAACCTTGTCGACCATCGTCTTCTGTACAGGACCCCCAGTAGCGCAGACGAGCGCAAAAAGGATAACTCCACCAGGAGCAGCGAGGAATTAATCGTAAGAAAATTGAAAATTTAGTAATAAGGAATTTTAGTGACGAAAAATAATAATAATTGAAATATTGAAAAAGAAAATTGAAACTTTAATAATAGGGAATCACAGTGACGAAAAATAATCATAATTGGAATTTGAAAAAAAAAATTGAAAAAATAATAATTTCATGAGAAAAATTAAATTTAATTCTAACAAACAAAGGAAAATATTGTAAAAAAATATATCACAAACAGTGTGGAACAAACATAAATTCGAATTGAAAAATAGCATAACAGTAATAACAAAGCAATAACAGACTGTAAAACCATAACAAAATACAACAAAGTTGAGCACTCAAGAGATCCTTCAACTTATAACACTACCGTAACTCCGCGACTCCTTATACGGACCCTCCGGAGTAGAAAGGGCCCTCTTCCCTGAAGAGGTTACACAAAATTTTTTCATAATAAAAAAAATAAAAATATTTTTCTAAGTGTAATAAGGAGAGCATAAAGAAATATCGCAAAATGCCAAATAATAATTTGATTAGGCCACCTGTGTTGACAAGCAATCAATCACAACCAAGTGCAGAAGCATCTAGGGAAATGAGTAACAAAATTGTAGAACTCGTAAATAGGTTAGTCGACGCTAGATTAGGGCAAAGGGAAAACCCAACAATAGATCCAACAATTTGACAAACGACATCCGACTTCCCTACGTAGTTAGAAGTCTTCGAGAATTTTCGGGTGAGCCAAGGGAATTCAGCTCTTGTAAGAAGAGCGTAGAGCGAATTATACAAATTTATGAACCTATCTGCGGTACCCCAAAACACTTCGGAATATTAAGCGTAATAAGAAATAAAATTACAGGAAACGCGGACGCGGAATTGGAGTCGTACAATACACCACTAAATTGGAAGTCCACTTGCAAGTGTCTTACGCTCCATTATGCTGATAAGCGAGATCTCGGCACTCTCGAATATCAAATGAACTCACTTTTACAAGGACGGTTAACTACAGAAGAATTTTATCAGAGTGTCTACTCACATTTATCGCTTATTTTAAACAAAATATCATGTATGGAAATGAGTCATGAAGCACTCTGCATTATGCCCAAACATATCGAGATAAAGCTCTTGATACTTTCATTCGCGGTCTGAATGGAGACTTACCCAAACTATTGGGAATGAGGGAACCGGTTGATCTCCCTCAAGCTTTACACATTTGTCAAAAACTAGAGAACCAATACTTTAGGACAAATTATGCTTATGGAGTAGCAAAAAACGTTCATAATCCTTATCTAGCTGATCCGGTTATTCCCCCTAGGAATACTAATAACCGCATTAATACCAATACAAAGGGGAGCCCCTATTTTTATCCAGAATTAGCATATCTCCCACAGCTGCCAAGAAATCCCAACCCTAATCCAAATTATGCGTTTGGGTATACCTATTATAATAATCCTAATAATATTAGAAACAATTCTGTACCACCTCCTCGTCCTCTCGGACCTAAGCCACAAAAAAAACCAGAGCCAATGGAGGTAGACCAAAGTGCTCAAACACGAAATATAAATTACATGAATCGACCGACGCTAAACAACATGTCTCAGGGTAAAAGATCTGCGTTAACCCAGCTCTATACTGACAAGAGGCAGCGTAATTATAATTATAAGACGTTAGGGATAACAACGAAGTAGCAGGAGAATCGCTACACGACTACGTTTATCCTTCCGAGAACTTAGGTGAAAATTACCAAACAGAAAGCGACCCCTTTAAAAGTATTGACTTCACAGACATTAATTTTTTAGAATGAACAACAATTCATTGCCTTACATCGAATGTAAAACAAGCAGGGAGAGATAATGAAAATATTAATAGACACTGGATCTAACAAAAATTATGTGCAGCCCCAGTTTGTGAAGAAACCCATTAGAAATGACAACCCATTTTTCGCAACCTCTATAGGAGGAAATATTTCAATCACCCATCACACTTTTGCAAATGTCTTCGGACTGAAGAACACCACCATCAAATTTTTCTTGCTGCCAACATTAAAATATTTCCATGCCATTATAGGAAACGATTCACTAAAAGAGTTAGATGTCGTAATACACGCAAAGGATAACTATATGTCAATAGGAAACAGATTAAAAATTAAATTGAAACAACAGTTCTCACAAGACATAAATCTTATCAATATCAGAACGGAACATTTAAACCAAATTCAAAAAGAAAACCTGCACAAGTTAGTTAAAAATTTCAAAATGCTATTTGCCGACCCCGAAGAAAAATTAAGTTTTACTACCACAGTATAAGGCGAGATTCGCACAACCATAGACAGACCAGTTTATACTAAAAGTTACTCTTATCCAACGTGCTTAAAAGAACAAGTGGAAAAACAAATTAAGAATTACTTACGCGATGGGATCATTCGACCATCTAGATCGCCGTATAACGCCCCCGTATGGGTAGTACCCAAGAAACTAGACGCATCAGGAGAAAAGAAATACCGTATGGTGGTCGACTATAGAAAGTTAAATTTAGTAACAGTGCCCGACAAATATCCCATCCCGAAATCAAAGATGTATTGGCCCAACTCGGTAAAAACAAATATTTTTCAACAATCGATTTAAAAAGTGGATTTCACCAAATCCCACTTAAAGAATCGGATATTGAAAAAACAGCGTTTTCTATAAATAACGGTAAGTACGAGTTTACTCGACTGCCTTTTGGGCTGAAAAATGCTCCCTCAATTTTCCAAAGAGCCCTAGACGATATTCTCAGGGATCACATCGGCAAGCGATGTTATGTTTATATAGATGATATTATTATCTTCAGCAAGGACCAGGAAACTCATTTCAATGACATGAGAATCATTTTCGAGACTCTAGAGAACACCAATTTAAAAATACAGTTAGATAAGAGTGAATTTTTAAAATCTGAGGTTGAGTTTCTGGGATTTATTATTTCCGAGAAGGGCCTCAAGACGAATCCAAAAAAAACTGAAGCGATAGTGAACTTTCCTACGCCCCAAATTTTGAAAGATCTTCGTACCTTCTTAGGACTTTCAGGGTATTATCGCCGCTTCATCAAATATTATGCGAAGCTGGCAAAACCCCTTACCGTCCTTCTAAGCGGGGAAGATGGGCGTAAGCCCAAAGGCGTTTCAAAAAAAAAAACACATATATCACTAGATGAAAACGCAATCGAATCCTTTAACAAAATTAATTTACCTCTCACGGCAGAGGAAGTAATGCTCATACATCCCGACTATTCAAAAGAGTTTCAGTTAACAACAGACGCCTCAAATCCTTCATATTCCGAACACTAAGCCAGACAGAAGAACATTGCGCCACAAATGAAAACGAAATGTTGGCGATTATCTGGGCTTTACGTAACTTACGAAACTACCATTACGGTTCGGCTAAGGTTAAAATCTTTACCGATCACCAGCCCCTGACATACGCGCTTAGTACAAAAAACAACAATAATAAAATGAAAAGATGGAAATCCATCTTGGAGGAATACAATTATGAGTTGCATTACAAACCGGGAAAGGCAAATGTGGTCGCCGATGCACTCTCACGACCGCCCCAAATAAATTCATTGACAGGTACTATGCATAGCGATGAAAGCTCCGAACATAATTTAATACCGATAACGGAGGCACCTATAAACGCCTTTAAGAATCAAATATTCCTAAATGTCGATGTAATTTCCTCATACAGGTTCAATATAATTTTCCCAACATATCACAGACATACAGTTACTGGAAATGACTACTCTCAAGAGAAATAAATTGAAATTTTAAACCGATCTGAATCCGTCAGTCGTAAACGGCTTAAGCACAGAAGGGCACATTCTCGGAAAAATACAGGAAATATACCCTCTACACTTCAGAAATTATAAAATTAGATTCACGCGGAAATTGCTAACTGACCTAACGGACGAAGCCGAACAAGAGAATGAAATCCTAAAAGAACACAAACGTGCACATCGAAGCGCGCGCGAAAATAAACAGCAGCTTTTACAATCATTTTACTTCCCTAGAATGCAATCGAAAATAGACGCAATAATAAAGCAGTGTGAAATTTGTAAAACGCAGAAATATGAAAGACACCCCCAAAAACCCATTATAAAACCCACTCCAATCCCACAATATCCTGGACAGATCGTACATCTAGACATTTACTACACAAACGACAGAGTAATACTGACTGCAATAGATAAGTTTTCTAAATATGCCCAAGCGACATTAGTCAGATCAAGAGCCACACAACATATTAAAGAACCTCTTAGAAGACTATTGATGTGCTTCGGGATACCGGAAAAAATAGTTATCGACAACGAAAAATCACTAGGATCAGCTTCAATAATACATCTTTTAGAAGACCAATTGAATATCGAAATATTTAAATGCCCACCTTATACCAGTACAGTAAACGGACAAATCGAACGATTCCACAGCACATTGGCAGAAATAATGCGTTGTCTTA